AAATTGGAAAAAATATGGAAGTTTGGAGAGTTGAGAAGTTTGATCGAGAGTTGACTTTTTGGTTACCAGGCTTGGATTTTGGTTTCGAAAGTTGGCATAGGTCTGTTGTGTCATGTATAGCTTATGTGCAAAATTTAAGGTTAATCGGAGTTGATTTGATAAGTTTCGGCATCGAATGTAGAAGTTTGAAGTTCATAAGTTCATTAGGCTTGAATCGATGTGTGATTTGTGTTTTTGATGTTGTTTGATGTGATTTGACGCTTTGAGCGAGTTTGTTTCGTGTTTTAGGACTTGTTGGTATATTTGATTGAGGTCCCGTCGACCTCAGTTATGATTCGGATCATGTTTCCACATCACTGATACACTGATTATGATAATAAGGCCGAGGGCTTGAGATTTGTACGCCACAAGGTGGCCTGAGATATGATAATGAGGCCGAGGGCCTGAGATTGTACGCCACGAGGTGGCTTGAGATTTGATATGAGGCCGAGAGCCTATTTATGATGCCACGAGATGGCTTGATTATGCGCTTGGGCCGTAAGGGGCCCCTCCCGGAGTCTGTACACCCCCAGTGAGCGCGGGTACCCATTGTGAGATGAGATATAGCCCGAGGGGCTGGTATTGTTCTGTGACATTGCCCGAGGGGCTGATTCTGTTGTTACTGTGCCTGGGGGGCAGTTATTATGTGTTTACTTTTTAGTTGCTTTCCTGTATATTGTTTAACTATTTAAGAGAGGTTTATGAGATTTCACTGCTTAATTATATTCACTGATTTGTTATGCCTCTTGTAGCTTAATGTTGTGCCTTACGTGGCTTTATATTACTCAGTCTTCATTTATTTTTATTACTCACTGAGTTGGAAGTACTCACTTTACTCCCTGCACCTTGTGTGCAGATTCAGGTATTTCTGAACCCGGTAGCGGGTATTGGTTGCTCAGAGGCAGAGCCATCGGAGTTTAGCAAGGTTGCTGCCCGACGTTCGCAGCACTGCTTTTCTCCCTCTCGATCTCATTAGACTGTATCTAGTACATTTTAGACTCTTGTTGTATTCAGACCTTAGTAGATGCTCATGACTAGTGACACCCCGATGTCGGGTTGTGTTGGGTTTGTTATTCCGCAAAATATACTATTAACTGCTTATTTTTGAGATTTTATCACGTTTACGACTTAATA